AAGTATAGTAGAATCTACCCCAAAACCCTATCCTGATTATGGAGGCCCCTACATTTGGGTTAAGGGAATCCTTCAAAGGAGCGCTTCAAGGAACCCTTAGAGGGATCCATAAGGGCTCTTGCTCCGTGAATTAAAGGTATCTATAGGGTACTGTGCGGGTTCCTTTCGGGGTTGTAGGGGTTGAGGGCTTAGTCTGGGGACTTGTGTTAAAGATACTATTCGGGGTTCCTTATTATTGCATAGTATGCCGTAAATCCTTTTCCAAATTATTCCGGCCCCTATATTATGATTTAGGGGTCTAGTTAAGGGTGTAGGTATTAAGTTAAAGTTTAGGAGGTTTGCGGTTCAGCGTTTAGGATATAACCTAAGGGCATTTTGGGTTTAGGGGTGTAGGGTTCTAGAGTTCCTTGAAGTTTGAAGGGTTCCTTCAGGCGCACCTCTAAGGATGCTTTTCTGGGTTCTATGAGGGCTTGTTAAACTGGGTTCTTGTTAAGGGATTTAGTTTAAGTTACTATAAAAAGGAAACCATATTGTTTACTATAGATCCCTATTATGGCAACTTAAATTGAATTCCTTAACAAGAGCCCAGTAAAAGGCTTCAGGTTTAGCATCCTATAAAGCACCCTTTCATACCGTATCAAGGAAGCATGTACGAACCCTTCAAAATCCTGTGAAACTCTTGGAATTCTATAAACTCCTAACAAAAGCACGCAAAACACAATGCATGAAAACCCATAAAATTCTGCAGCGACCTGTGATTCATCACAGACAACCCTGTTGCCAGGAAGAATGGGGAGCTGCACCAGACTGCCGCGCAGATTCTCGCGGACAAGAAAGCAGCAGCGCACAGGCGCGGCCGAGGGCTTTTTCTAAAAACTATGGCTTTGAGTGTTTAGGGTTTAGGGTTTAGGGTGATATAGAGGCCTGAATAATTAGAGCAGGGTTTTCAGGTATATTAAGTATACAGTAGCTATAATAGGAACCCTCAAAACCCTAGTCTTATTCTTTAGGCCCCTACCGTAGGGGCCTCATAGGGTTCTTTTCAGGGTCCTACATGGGATCTATCAGGGGGTTTTCGGGTCTAGGATTCAGAGTGTAGTGGTAATCGGCGTTTGGGGGTTTAGGGTTGAGGACAACTTTCAGGCTAGGGTTTGGGATGTAGAGTTAGCAGAGTGGGCGTTTAGGATTCTGGGTCTGAGGCTTTCGGTTTCAAGAGTGGTTTAGGATTTTGGGATCCGTTTTGGTTTCCGATGACCCGAAACGCTACCCGTTTACCCTTGCGAGATCTATGGATTTCGACTTTGTCGGACCATTGGTACTGTCGTCAGCTTCAGGGTATAGGGTTTCATCTTAAGGCCTCTAAATCCAAAGCCGAAACCCCTAAACCCTAAACCGTTGAATAGGGTCTGAGGTAGAGGTCGGCAAGAGGATCCGGATCCCATGCTACTCCCGACATCCCTAAGAGAGCGACCGGTGTCTCCAGATTCACCATGCGCCCCCTTGACCCGAAACCCAAAGCCGTAAACATGAAGCTCGAACATGCCAGTTCCATAGAGCACATAATATAGGTGCCTAAAGACGTAGTGCCTGAACACGTAATCAGTTAGCAATTTTATTTCCTGAAATGCAAAGATCGTACAATGAGTCGAAAGTCCTTGTTATTTGAATGATAAGGCCCCTGTATTACCATAAGCTTTAACCTGTGCTGCGTTGTATGGAACCAAGCTCTCGCAAGGAATCTGTTTCGGCTTTCGACGGCCCGATATCGTGTTTCGGCGGGCTTGCAACCGCACATATACAGACAGATGTGCATGTGCACAGTGCATATGTACGTGTGCGTGTGTGTATATATCTACACACATATAGATATTCGTGTATATACATATACATATATATATATACATATATATATATATATATGTCCATAGAGGCTTTTGCAAACACAGGCACATGCATAGATACCTCTGTGCCTAGACGAAGGCGCCGAATCTCGGGCAGGCAAATCGAGTACATCGCCGCCAAGTGGGCCGGAGGCGCCAACAAAGGCGCATCACTCCGGAACCCTATAAAGAAACCCTTAAAGGGAACTGTAAGTGTTTTGCAAAGGGATCTAGAGGGTACTATGAGGGTTGCACATCGGGTTTAGGGGGTTAAGGTTTAGGGTTAGCGTTTAGGGTCCCTAAACCTTAAACTCTAGGCCGCAAGCCCGAAGCCCTAAACACTGACCATGAGCCCTACAAAATGGGCAGAGCTATAGCTGCAAGATCCTAGTGCGGCTTGCAGGAGAAAAGTAACTATGGAGGAGAAGGCACATGCACGCACAATGACTTTATAAAGCTAAACATATGTATGAATATACAATATCAGTATAACTGAAAACCAAAAGTGCAAATAGGTAGCCGCAGTGCAGCCAGTACTGGAGCCAATTTGTGGTGGTAATCGTGGCGAGACCACTGCACGTAGGTATCGAAATCCGAGAAGTTTGCAATGCAGTCGCATCTGGACTTTCAAGTTCGGCTTAGGGATTCAACATTGAGAGTTTGCCTTCCAAACTGCAGGATTTATCATTCAAGACTGGAAGGGGCTTTCATGTCAGGTAAGGTCGCAACGCCAAAAGCCCGAACTTAGGCCTCAACCTACCATACCCCCAACCCTGCGACGGGCTTCCAAGATGGGGGGTTCCCAAAATAAGGGACCCTAATATAGTACCCTAATTAGTAGGATCCCTATTATAAGGACCCCAAAATAAGGTACCCCTTGTTTTCGGAAGCTCCCAGATAGCTACAGCGTTGGCAGAGTGCAGGCGCCAAGTCCGGCATATTCAAGGGCTGGCACAGTCACAAGGCTGCAGTGGAGGGTCGAGGATGTCGGAGGAGGGTGATGGGGTTGAGGAGTTTGGGGTGTTTAGGATTTGGGGTTTGAAGTTTTGGGTCTCCAGATAGGGTTAACATTTTGGGATCTACATGGAGGATCTGGAGAGTGAGCACCAGAGCCGACTGAGGGCTTCCCAAGTTTACCCTAAACCCATCAAGGACTCGATAGTTTGAACCCAGTTCGCCTTAGATCACACACGTTCCCAAAGCCACTTAGCCAGTCCGCCCGACCCGCTAAACCCCAACACGCGAAGCCGTATGATGGATGGTTTAGGGGTTTAGGCTTTAGGGTTTAGGGTTTGATTATTTACCACAGGTCCCTATTACGGTACCTTACATGCAGCTCCTTAGCAAGAACCCAGTATACGGCGCCTGAAAGAACAGCGTAAACCTCTCTCACACAGCATGTCATCAAGGCTGGCAGCCCTGTAATGATGGAAGCCCACTACAACAAGATCTCTGATTGAACCATATAGACCATAATCCTTAAACCCTAAATCGTAAACCATAAGCCCTAAACCCTAAACCCTAACGTATAGGACCTCGTAAAAGCTACATAAAGGATTAAGACTAGAGTCCCTGTATTCTTAGAAGATATTCCTATATGCTCTGGGTTTGGGGTTTACGGTTTAGGGCTGCGGGTTTTGGATTTGGGGGCAGGGATTGGCAGGGATAGTCCTTAGCCCTATTCACGGCTGAAGGCTTACTGGGTTCTTGTTGGGGAGTTTGTATCTTAAGACATATATAGGGAAACCATTGCACTGACTATGGACTATAGATCCCTCCTGCGGCAACCAAAGTTCCATTCCTCAACAAGAACCCGGTTTAGAGACTGCAAGTCCTAAATCGAAATCGACCCTAAACCCTAAACCCTAAGTTTAACTCCTTAACAAGAACTCGGTTTAGGGACTGTGAGCCCGAAACCGCGAAGCGCCAAGGCTACGTCAAGGACGCGAAAGCGAAAGGACGGAAGAACCAGGCCCGATCATGCCTTCAAAATTTGGGGGTTCAGGGTTGAAGGTTAGGGTTTAGAGTTTGGGGTTTAGGGTTTAGGGTTGAAGGTTGTAGGGTTGAGGGTTTAGGGTTTAGGATTTAGGGTTGAAGCTTGTAGGGTTGAGGGTTTAGGGTTTAGGGTTGGGGGTGTCAGGTTTGAAGGTTCAGGGTGGAGGGCTGCGGGCTTTAGGGTTGAGGGTTTAGGATGAAGGGTTCAGGGTCTGGGGGGTGTCTTCTTAAGAGAGTACAATGGTACAGGGGTGTTGGGGCTCTTCGTTTCGTTTTGTGAGGAGTTCTTAGTGAGGGTGTGATGTTTGTGGGTTCTTTCGTTTCAAGTCTGCGTAGTCCCTTGCTTTCTCAAGCTCCTGTAGCAGCATGGTTTAGGCCAAGGGTTTGCGATCTGGGGTTGGGATTTTGGATCCCTAAACCCTAAGCTCTAAACCCTAAACCCCTAAACCCTAAACCCCCGAACCCTAAACCCCCTAAGCCCTAAACCCTAAACCCTACACCCCTAAACCCTAAACCCCTAACCCCTAAACCCCCTAAGCCCTAAACCCTAAACCCCTAAACCCTTAAAAACCCTTAAAACCCTAAACCCCTAAACCCTAAACCCTAAACCTACAAACCCCTAATCCCTTAAACCGGCCTAGCAGTTGAGGATGTAGCTTGGGTCATGGTTTGGCGGAAAGGGCTTGGGGGAGATTTTTGGGCTCTACGGGTTGGGGGTGCGCTTTAGAGTTTAGGCTTTAGGGTGTAAGGTTTAGGGTTTAAGGTTTAGGGTTTAGGGTTTAGGGTTTAAGGCTGCTTAGGGTTTAGGATTTAAGGTTTAGGGTTTGAGGTTTAGGGTTTAAAGTTTAGAGGTTTAGGGTTTCGGGTTTAGGGTTTAGGGTGATCGCGAAATCGCGAAGGGGTCAACTGCTAAACCTCAAACCCCTGAACCCGGGGTCCGCGTAACCTCCTAAACCCTAGCTGAACCTTTCAGCCCTCCAGGCCACCTTCGGTTGAGGGTTTAGGATTTAGGGTTTAGGGCTTTGGGTTTAGGATGTAGCTTGTCATAGCTCTTCTTCAGCCCTAAACCCTAAATCCTAAACCCCACACCCTAAACCCTAAACCCGAAACCCTAGACCCTAAACCGTAGGAGAGGGAACCTGACAGCCCCACCGAGTCGGCTCCTGGCGAGGCAGTCCATGCCGCCCTCACCAAAGCGCTCTTGGGCGAGGTTCGTTTGGGGTTTAGGGTTTAGGGTTTAGGTTTAGGCTTTAGGATTTGGGGCTCCGTGTTCAGAGGGTGTGCTTTTTTTATCAGGGCTCCTGTTTGAGAGGGTTCCTTTTTGAAGTGCCCTTGCGAAGGGTTCTTAACCCTAAACCCTAAACCCTAAACCCTAAACCCAGGTTCCTCTGGATTTTCCGCTTTTGGAATTCCCAACAAAGGCTCCCTGCCTGCCTTGTTACTGGGTTCGGGTTGGGGCTTGGTTCAGATGTCCACAAGAGGGGTGTGTGTATATATTAGTTTAGGGTTTAGGGTTTAGGGTTTAGGGTTAAGGGTTTAGGGTTTAGGGTTATATATATATATATATTTGTATCTACGCATGTGCATATATAGGTATGTGTTGCAAGTCGTATGTGTTGTAGGTTTGTACGTATACATACAGCACCAAACCTGACTTCCCCAGTATGATCTTGACCCTGCCCCCTTCTAGGACTGCTGAATTTCTGTGTGATGTAAGGGCATGGACTGAGAGGGTTTAGGGCTTAGCGTTGAGGTTTCCTGGCACATGTGGATGCATCGTCCGAAGCGAAACGCCAAACCTTGGCGATCCAACATTCCTCGGACTCTGATTACCTACAGTTTTATGGGTTCCACCTACTAATTGAGGGGTAATGGCTGCTAAACGGTAAGTAAAGAGAGTTGGTATTGCTAACCTTAACCCCCAAAACCTTACCTTCTTTTTTCAGGACGTATATAAAGAGATCATATAAGGAGCTCTAAAAAGGTAGGTTCTTCAGGGTCTAGGAAATCTCCACATGGTAGAAGCCTGTAGCACCGTGAGCCCTGAACCCTGAACCCTGAACCCTTACAGCTTCCGGAGGCCAAGGGAGCCGCCAAGACGGCCCTTCTCAACTGGCAACCTGGCAAGGTTTAGAGGAGAAGTTTAGGGCTAAGGGTTTAGAGTGGCTAAGCGAGAAGTTGAGGGTTTATATAGGCTGAAGTTTTATAGGGCTTCGGGTTCAGGGGACAAGTTGTTTTCAGGGTCCATTGGCAAACTTGTGTGTCTCGGATGCTTCTTGGCGGGGCGGCGGGGATGGGCGTTAGTGGGGGGCTTGCTTTTGCGTCTTGGGGCGTGTGCTCTGTGCAGGGTTGCGGACTCGGGGCTCAGAAGAGAAGGGTTTTGGGCATTAAACCCTAAACCCTAAACCCTAAACGGTAAGGAGTTTGAGGCTTAAGGGGGAGGGGGCTTGATGCTTCGTTTGAGCCTCCAGGACTTAGCAAGGAGGGTTTACAAATGGGTCTGCAGCTAGGATAACTCCGAATCAGGGTGCCTTTGCATTTAGGATCGTTCGGATTGTGGCACCTAGAGTTAGTTTAAGGTAGCCCTGCAGTAGAAGCCCAAAAGTTGGAAACCCAACAGCCTCAAGCCTTAAGAGTAATGCATAGGGAATCCGAGCTCTATTTGTCCTTAATCCGGTTTCCAGTTTAGAGTTTAGGATTTAGGAATTAGGGTGGGGGGGTTACTATAACTAAGGTACCTATAATCCCGACATAACCCGCTTTGGGTGCGACCTTGGGCATGGTTTTCTTACGCATGGAGTACGCTAAAACCTAAGCCGTAACCTCTAAACCCTAAACCCTACACCCTCAACCCTAAACCCTAGACCCCAAACCGTTCATGTAGAGCTTTCTTCTTCCCATGGAGCGGGGTTCTTCAATTGGAGGTGCCCTGCCATCCGCCTCCCCCTCCTCGATACTCTGAACCCTACCTTATAGAACGAGTACACGGACGGCATGGGGCTCATAGGCACAGACAAGTCTGCCCTGTGGGAAATGGCTTTGCAAGACGACACTCTCATGGCAAACCCTAAACCCTAAACCCTAAACCCTAAACCCTAAAAGAGAAGGGGCATGACAAGTGTGACTGCTTCGCCCTTGAGAAAGGGTCTTCCCCAGTGGTTCTTGGACAGACAGAGGCCCACGGCGGACGATCTTGAACAGATGGGAATCGCGCAGACCTCTTTGGAGAACGCGGCGAATCTGTTCACGGGATGGTACTCTGGTTTAGGGTTTAGCTTCGAATAATCCACTTTTTTTAAGGACCTGTACAAGGAAATCATGATTTAGGGTTTAGGGCTTTGGGTTCAACCCCGAAAGATCGCATCTTTAAGGACTGATAAATATACAAAGAGATCATGATAAGGAACCCTAAAAAGGTAGACACTTTGGGGGCCAGGCATGCCCTGAAACCTGCACCCCTTGAACGACCCGAAAGCCTGAACCCTGTTAATGTAGGGGCCTAAATAATTACCGATACTATGTTGGGAGTTCCTTATTGCAACTATAGTATAAAGGGCCCCAAAACCTTATTCGAATTATTAACGCCCCTATATTACCCCTTGAACCCGGTAGGACTGTAGATGTCTTACCCTTGTAGTATGGAACACTTTGCCGCGCTTCTGGGTTTTCATCTGGAGACTTGGAAAATTGCCAACACAATATCAAAAGGACCTTGACATACATAGCAAGCACTTTTCACAAAAAACCCTAAACAAACTAAGCCCTGAACCTCAACATCAGTCTACTATTGATGATCTAAATCTTTTATTACTTTAACGACTTTACACTATGGAAATTATGGTATACTCCTTACTATGGGTAATGCAGGATATATATACCATCAGCCGTCCTATTCTATATGGGTTCTCTAAATTAGGGTCCCCTTTTTTAGGTCCCCAACATAGTACGGCACCCTTGTAAAAAAGGACCCCCGCAAGGGAGCCTAATTCAGAAAACTACCCATATGCACCCCGAAGCTGCAGTCTGATTATTCAGGGTTTAGGGTTTAGGGTGTAGGGTTTAGGGTTTAGGGTTTAGGGCGCTATTTAGGGTTCCTGACAGGCACATGCTCACGAAAGACGAAAAGGCGATGAGGAAGCGTGAAGAAGACGAGAAGCAGGCAGACTGGAATGATTTAGGCTTCAGGGTTCTAAGGGTTGGCCTTGGTAGGGCTTGAAAAGGATTTGATATATGCTTTCTAGAGCTTCAGGGTTCTAAGGGTTCTAGGGTCAAACCCCCTGCAAAATACTAGGTTCTGACCCCTTGATTGAAAGGTAGAGCCCCTAGACGGTAGGCTTTGGGATCCCCAGGAAGGGTTGAGAAGAATCGAACAACCCCAGACCGAGTGATTCGGCTCCTTCCCTTAAGGTCCATGTGCCAAATAGGATATACTTTGGCCCTAAAATTACCCCTGCATAGGTACTGTGGGGCCAAGGTATAGACTATTTGGGTACATGGGTAGTTCTCTAAATTAGGCTCCCTCTTTAGGTCCCCAAAGTAGTACGGCGCCCTTATGACAAGGACTTTAAAAGGGACCCCCCCAATTTATAGAACTACCCACATGGAACCTTTTTAGTACCCCCATAGATCCATTTAAGGAACCCCTTATAGTACCCTTATAGATCCCTTTAAGGAGCTCCACAAGGCGGCCCTAATTTATAGAACTACCCACATGGACGTTCAGGGTTCGGTTCCCAAACCCTCACGGTCCAAGCCAGACCCTTTGAAGCGTCTAAACCCTGAACCCTAAACCC